CCTGGAAGCTGTGGCCCTGATGGACAGTGCTGGGGACGCTGATTCCATGGGATTTGTTAGCTGAAGGCCAGCCCTCTCCCCCTCCCCCGGAACAGATGGGCCCCATCAGCCCTGCTGTGTTCCCCAAGAGGCAAGCATCAGCCCTCCTTGTGTTTGTTTGAGTTGGTGTCACCAGCGGTGACCTGGCCTGTGGGTAAGGGCTGCTGTGGGAATGGGGGGGGTGGAGGGCGGGTGTGGCGGGTGTGTGTGTGCATGGGGGCCCCAGGGCAGTGTCTGGCTTCCCCCTCCTTTCACTGACAATCCCCGTTTCGCCTCACCCACTTCTAGGCCTGCTTGGGGGCCGTTCCCAAACCACAGGTTCATTCATAGCTCTGATAGAATCTTTCCTGTCTGTCACAGCAACTGCCCTTCCGGGCCCCCACCTGCTCAGAAGAAGGGTAGAGGCTGTCCTTGGGCTGTGCTGTGCTCTGGGCCGGAGAACAGAGAGCTCCCCTGGGCCCAGGAAGAGACTGGGCTTGGAGAGCTGGACGGGGAGGGAGGGTGGGGCTGGGCTTTTGAGCTGGAAGTAGGTGACTGGGCCAGATCTTCTTTGGTGACCTCACAAGAGCTTGCTTTCTCCCCAGAATTTTCTTCCCTAGGCTATGGTGGGCAGGCCAGAGTGACCGCAAGGGGCTTGAGAATTCGAGGCTGCTTCTAACAGCCTGCCTGTCTTTCCATCGCCTGCCCCAACGCACACTGACACTGGGTGGGTCAGGAACTGGTGTTTGGGGGCAGTTGCCCCGCTGCTGCCTTCCCCTCGCCATTGGCTTCCCACTGGAAACCGTGCTCTGCCCTGGCAGGGTCTCATGGGACAGTGTGTCCTATCGGTTGACGTTGCTTCACTGTTCGCTGCCTTCGAGTCGGTTCCAACTCATAGCGACCCTCTGCACAAGGGAACAAACCACGGTCCTGTGCCTTGTTCGCAGCGGTTATATTTGAGCCCGTTGTGGCAGGATGCTGCTCATAAATCCACGGCTTAGGAAAAAGTCTCAGGGGCCTGGACACAGAGGTATGGGGCGGGGTCTTCTTCCCCAGACCTCAGGAGTGGGATTGAGGGGTCTTAGCGGCCTGGGTCACACTGCGGTTGTAAACATGTCTCCAAATTGCTCACGAGGTCTCTGCACTGGTCCCTCCCTACCTCAACCCCCTCCCCTGCCCCAAACCATGTCTTCATGGACTGACCACGCAGGACATGCCATCTCCTGGCTTCAGTGTAAAAGGGTGGCCCAGACCCTCATTTTCTTAGCTTATTTTTCCATGAGGCCCTTAATGTTTATTAAGCAAACAGGCAGCGGGTTTGTGTGACATGCCCACGGCTTCTGTGGGTGTGCTGCATGCCTGGCCTGCTTCCTGGGAGTGTGTGTCACTTTGGCTCTGAGCCGGAGACCTGGTGATGGCGGCAGACCACTCAATGACCATCTCTGCAGCTGCGTAGCTATTTCACCAGAGCTTGTGGGGAATGGTTCTACCCAGCAGCCCCAGGGAGCGTGTGTGGGGGTGGGAGGGGCAGGGAATGGAGTCACAGTGGGTCTGGAAATCAGGCTTCCCCTTGGCTGATGCAGAAAGAAGGCCCAGTGATCTGATCTGACAGGGCCGTCTCGTCCTTGCAGGTACATCGGGGCGCTGGGAGCCCGAGTGATCTGTGACAATATCCCAGGTCTGGTGAGCCGACAGCGGCAGCTGTGCCAGCGTTACCCAGACATCATGCGCTCAGTGGGCGCGGGTGCCCGCGAATGGATCCGTGAGTGCCAGCACCAGTTCCGCCACCACCGATGGAACTGCTCCACGCTGGACCGCGATCACACCGTCTTTGGACGGGTCATGCTCAGAAGTAGGAGCCTCTTCCAGCGCCCCGGATCCTGGCCTCTTATGCTTGGGGGCTTAGGCTGGGGGGTGGGGAGGGTTGGCAGGACACACACACACACACACCCACACACACGGCTACTTCATACCTAGGGTACCAACTGTGGGTTAGAGGCTACGAAACAGCCGAGAGAGGCATGTAGGCAGAGTGAGTGGCGCACAGGCAAGGCTGGCTCTAGCGCCTCAGTCTGCCTCCCTCCCCTGCCTCCGCACACCAGGAGGCTGTGCACTAGGAATGGATGCTCCTCCCTGACCCCACCATCACCACCCTCACCCCAGCACTCCAGTAATGGGACCAAGGGATAAACAGAAAGGTGATATGTAAATATGTGGCGCGTCAGTGGTCTGGCCCCAGCTCAGCAGACAGTAAGCTAGGAGAAGAGCGAGAGCTGGGCATTGGGGGGGGGGGGCAAGATTCATCAGTTCCCAGGAGCAGGAGGGCTGACCTGGGAACTGTCCAGCAGAGAGTGGGTCTGAAAAGGCCTGAAATGCGACCTGCGGGGGCTTGCTGAGCCAGAGTTGGCCCTGGGGCACCGGGGAAATGGACCCAGGAGTTTGGTAGGGAAGAAGCTGACAGGTCAGCCTGAGAGGTCAGACTTAACAGAAGTAGAGGGGACCAGTGAGGGCAGAGGGGGAGAGGCCTGACCCTCTGAGGAGTGCTGGGACGCACTGTAAGGAAAGAAGTGGTGGAGGTGGCTCAAGGGGGAGAGAGGAGGTTGTGTGGGCCGAAAAAGGGGCCACGGGCTACGCACCGGCCTCTTCCTGAAGCGCAGCTGTCCCTCCCTGTTCATCCAGGCAGCCGGGAGGCAGCATTTGTGTACGCCATCTCGTCAGCTGGGGTGGTCCACGCCATCACCCGGGCCTGCAGCCAGGGAGAACTGAGTGTGTGCAGCTGTGACCCCTACACCCGTGGCCGGCACCGTGACCAGCGTGGGGACTTTGACTGGGGTGGCTGCAGTGACAACATTCACTATGGTATCCGCTTTGCGAAGGCCTTTGTGGATGCCAAGGAGAAGAGGCTTAAGGATGCCCGGGCCCTGATGAACTTACATAACAACCGCTGTGGCCGCACGGTCAGTACTCACGTCAGTGTGTGCACGCTCATGCTGTACCAGGGGTCTGTGTGTGTGGCTGTGAATTACATGTGGATGGTGGAAGAGCTGGGAGCATCTGGAACGTTCCAAAAGCCCCAGTGTGTGCTGGACAGGGCATGAAACACAAGGTGACTTGGGCCGGCAGAGGTTCAACAGGTACTGCGTCGGCATAGACATGCAGGAGGAGGTGCTAAGGCAAAGAGCTTTCCGCCAGGACTGAGGAGGGCTCCAGTTTCTTCTCGTCAGTTCACTGGCATTGGAGAAGCACAGAGAGGCCTGGTGCTAAGCTGGAACGGGCATACTACACAGCAGGCATGGTGCCCGCTGTTCTCCGAGGATGGATCGCAAACACAGGGAGAGACCTTGAGCAGCATCCTGTGGCCTTGACGTTCAGACAGGCTGCCGAGAAAGGGAAAGCAGGGCTGTCCAGGCAGGTTTCTGGAGGAAGAGGTTCTGGAATGTGAGCAGAGCAGGTGGGGTCTGACAGGCCAGGGACCAAGCACCCGCGGTCAGCCAGGGCCATGTCAGGCTGACTTCAGAGCAGTTGGGCAGTCGCCGTTGTGCTGACTGGCTGCCTCTCCATGTCCCCCCACCCGCAGGCTGTGCGCAGGTTCTTGAAGCTGGAGTGTAAGTGCCACGGGGTCAGTGGCTCCTGTACACTGCGAACCTGCTGGCGCGCCCTCTCAGACTTCCGCCGCACGGGGGATTACCTGCGACGGCGCTATGATGGGGCAGTGCAGGTGACGGCCACCCAGGATGGCGCCAACTTCACAGCAGCCCGCCAGGGCTACCGGCGTGCCACCCGCACTGACCTTGTCTACTTTGACAACTCCCCCGACTACTGTGTCTTGGACAAGACTGCAGGTGAGTCAGGAGGGCAGGCAGGGACAGGGAGCCCAGCCCTTGGTGCAGGCCCCCTGGCTCATCGTGGTCTATTCAGTCAGGAGTTGGGAGAGGGGATGGAATGAGAAGAAACGGGTCCTGACGTGGCAATCTGTCCCTCAGTCTGCCAGGCCCAGTGCTGCCCGAGCAGCAAGGAGTGGTCATTCAGCTCCTTGAGGCAGCGGCAATCCTAACTGTCCCCAGCACCTGGTATATAGCAGGCACTATTCAGTGAGTGTCGTCCTAAGCAGCTGGCTCTTTACAATGGAGCTTTAAAAGTGTGAGGTAGATCCATCGAGAAAATCACTAGAGACTGGGAAATCAACACAAGTTCATTTGGCAATGTGGAATTGAAGCTGCTCCTTAAAGTGGGGGTTCTGTGGCTAGCAGTGTGGTCTGTGGGGAAGTACATGATCGATTCCAGGAGGAGAGAGCCACTCAGTGGGACTGGATGAGGGTCTCAGGTAAGGGTGATTCGAGCGAGAGAGATGGGTTGGGGACAGACCGGGAATGACCTCAGAAAGGCCCTGCTTACTGACTTGCCATAGAAGAGTCTGAAATGGGACTTGGGAACGCAGAGAAGGGATCCTCCCATCCAAGGTCAACCAATGAAGAGCAGAGCCAATGGTCCCTTTCCTTCTCTGCATATTGACGGGGCATTCCTGGGGATGCTGGAAGGTGACCTGGTATTCTCCTGAGGGTGTAGGCGTCCCCTCCTGACCCAGAGTTCGGGTTCAGACAGGTTAAACTAGAAATGCTCTTTCCCTGGTTCCTGTCTTTGGGATCACATTCAGCAGCTGCGTTAGGTGAGGGGGATCTAGATGCCCCAGCTGCCTGCAGTACTGTTTGTTTTCCCCCATCCCTGTCATTCCTGGAGAGGAAAGCGGCTTGGAGCAAAACTGGGCTCAGAAATAGGTTGGGGCTCCACCCAGTAACAAAGTCGTTTGTGTACTTTGCAGGGTGTTAGGAGTATATATAAAGTTTGAGGGGTGGCAGGGACTTTCACAATCTACTAGTGATTTCCTGCCAAGTGGTTTAATTCCCGAACACCTGAGGCGCTAGCTGGTGCTAAAGCCCAGACCAAACGCATTGCCCTTGCCTGGATCCCAATGCACAGTGACCCTACAGAACAAGAGTTGAGCTGCTCCTAGCCAGCTGCCTCATTTTTCCCCATGTAGCAGTTGGAGGGTTTGAACTGCCAACCTCACTGTTAACCGCCAAGCGCTTCACCCACTTTTAGCCTATGAGGCTAAAACACCCCTTCAGGGAAGGAGCTTTGGAGTTAGAAGGGAAGAAGCATCGTGTGTCTGTTTTTCTCACAAATCCAAAGGAGAGCCTGAAATTCAAAGGGGGCAGATATCCTCAGGAGGGAGTGTGGAGCCAGGAATTCCCTCCTCCATGACACTGTCCAGTTGAACAGTCTGCGATGATAAAAATGTGATCTATGTGATAGCCACTAGTCACGTGATTATTGATTACTTGAAATCTGGCTAGCGCAACTGAAGAACTAGATTTTACATTACAATTCACTTTGTCTGACTCACATATGCTACTGGCTGCCCTGCTGGACAGTACAACTCCAGCGTGTGGGAGGGGTACACAGGACGTAAGCCCAGGCCCTTGGAGTTAGGGGAATGACACATGTAACATGCCTCACCATCCTCCAAAGAACCCTGGTGGCCCAGTGGTGGTTTGCCTGCTACCCTAAAGGATGGTGGTGCCCACATGCCCAGCAGTGCTGCAGAGCGAGCAGCCTGGCAATCTGGTTCTCGGACGGTCACAACCAGGCGGGCAGTGGAAAGGGACTTGAGGGCAAGTCACAATAGTCAGACTACACACTAGAGCTTTGGTTCCCCTCATGTTTTGGATTACATATTCCTCTATCATTAAAATAATTTGTGTATCTCTAATATATATATGTATATCTGTTCTAGTATACTAATATATGCATTATAAAACACTCATATTAAGTAATGAAGGTGATGAGACAGTACTTATGGAATTTCTAACATTTTCTTACCATATTCTAGCAGTAGAGACTGCTGTTGAAATCAGTTCATTTAGTCCCCTTCTTAAAACTCCTAGGCTAGTCATGCCACCCTTTCAAAATTCTGGGATCTAGGATCTGGGCAGCATCTCTTCTCACGGAAGCCAAGCATAATGAGGTCCTGAGCTCTCTCTGGAAGAGGACCAACTGCACCCCTGCCCCTCGAGAGTCCCCACCATGAGGGAGAGCCAGGGAATCCCTTTTCCTTCCTTAGGGATATGCTGCCAGGAAGTCAGACACGCTCATCCGTTCACCTTAGTACCTAACAGGCTACAGGGTAATGTGGCTCTCACAGTGCGGAGTTAGGAGCCATTGTGCCCATCTTCAGATGAAAAAACTAAGGCCCAGGAGATTAGTTAACTTGGTCAATCACACAGCTAATAAGTGGCTGAACTAGGATTTGAACCCAGGCAATCTGTCGTCTGGGCCAGTGCTTTGAATGACTGCAAGCTTCCCTGTGTAGTGCAACTTAACAAAATGTAAACTACGGTCAGAAACACACCCGGGAGCAGGAGGAGAGTGTGGCAAGACTTCTTGGAAGAGAGAAATTATAGGTTAGGGTGTTTTGTTTTTAACTTTCTATTACGGAAGCATACAAAAGTAGAGAAACCTCACTTTAACAATGATGAATGTTTCAAGCCAGGCTACGTGTCACTTTGAATTGCTTCAGTCATGATCGATGAAGCACAATTGGAACTGACCCACAGTGAAAAGGATTTTTAAATGAAGTGGAACAACCAGAACGAGGGGAAAGTATGAGTTTGAAGCCCTGCGGTGGGAGACTCAGAAGAGGTGAAGCGAAGCCCATTCCGGAGCCTGAAGCAGCAAAGCGGGTTATTGCTGGGACTGTGGAGAGCGCGAGCAGCCGCCGTCTTTGAGTGGGGTGCCGCTGTTCCACATTTCACTGCTATGCCCTTGTTTTCTAATAAGGAGATGAAGTTGAAAGCAGTTAATTTTTCCTGTCTGGTTGCCATTACTCTGGTCCCCCACCTTTTACAAAGGCGGGTGCCTTCTGGCTCACTTCTTTGGCCACAAATGCACCAGGGAGAACCAGTTCACAGCCGTGGTTTCCAGACTTTGAAGAGGCCATGGAGCTGTGTCTTGGCAGAGGCAAGAGCTGGTGGAGTCAGTGGCTTTAGGGGAGGCTAGGTAGCGGAGGGAAGAGACAAGCCTGGTGCAGAGGGCAGGGAGGATCTGGTCACCCTGGCTGGAGGGCAGGCTTTCAGGGAAAGGGATTCTTGACGGCTTTCTCCTGAGGCGGTGTGTAAGGAAGTCCAGGGACACTGACGTAGGAGGTAACTCACTCCCTCTCTATCCCAACCCAGGTTCCCTAGGCACTGCGGGCCGTGTCTGCAGCAAGTCATCTAAAGGGACAGACGGCTGTGAAATCATGTGCTGTGGCCGAGGGTACGACACAACGCGAGTCACCCGTGTCACCCAGTGTGAGTGCAAATTCCACTGGTGCTGCGCTGTGCGGTGCAAGGAGTGCAGGAACGCGGTGGACATCCACACGTGCAAGGCCCCCAAGAAGGCAGAGTGGCTGGACCAGACCTGAGCACTCGGACACCTCCCTAGTCTCTCCACTCCAAACCTTCTGACGCCAACCAAAGCACCAGATCCCTGCATGCTCACCATCCTCCCCCCTCAACCCTGGGCTGCCACAGCTTCTACTGAAGGACTTGGGGAGGGGTCCAGAGAGACTCTGGGGGCCTGGCTGACTCCTTAGCCCTGGGAACGAGTTGACAGGATGTCAGGTCTCTGGAGGTTAGGAGGGAGACTGGACAAAGTAGGGGTCTTCAGAGTGATGTGTTGCACTAAAGCACCTGGTGGTTGAGGCTTAGTCCTCCTTGTCCTTGCCTGGCTTCCTGACACCTTGTGTGTAAGAGAGGAAGGAGAGAGGGGCTTTGTGTTCCTACCTGGCTGAGGGTAGATGGGACAGAGGTGAAGCCATATGTACTTTCCCTGGAATCAGTTCTCGCAGAATGCCCCTTACCATGGAAGGACCTCTTAGGCTGTGACACTCGGCCTTTAGCAAGAGCTTGGGGCTGCTAGACAGCATGGGCCACCATGGACAAGTTGCATTCACATGCTCATGTTTATGAACCGTTGTGTTTTATAGGGGAAATAATTATATAACTGCACAAAAACACATTCTTTTCCAATCCTTTCCAACCTGTATCGGACAGCACTGCCCCCTTTGCTCACTTGCTGCCTGTTCCAACACGAGGCAGCATGCTGTGGTTCTCCAGCTAACCGGTCATTAGAATGCCCTGGGAGGTAGGAATTTGGTAGGCCCTGGGATCTTTATTTTTTTTACTTTTCATGGGCGAGTCTGGTGACCGGCCAGGTTTGGAAAACACTGTGGGAAAGCTCTGAGACTCATGGAGGGTGGGAGTGGGTGCACGGGCCCACCGGAGGCACTTGTGTGCCCAGGGAGGCAAGGGGCTCGGCGGCAGGGAGTCTTTGGGAGAGGAGGCCGTGGCGCTCTAGAGGAGGAGATCCGGGGCGTGTGGTCAAAGTGGTGAACAGCCTTCCCCTGTTTATTCAACAAATCTTTATCTAATGACTCTCCAAGTTTTTTAATGTCCACTCCACTCTGGACCCACGTAGTGGTGGGGTTCCTTCTACCCACTGCTTATCTGGGTTTGCAGGGGAGGAGGTGGCCGGCTTAGTAAGCCAGAGGCTAGAATGTAGAGTCCCCCAAACCTGGATCTCTGTATCTTTGTGTGTCTTCGGCAGTGCTTGTCTCTTGCCTGCTGATCTTAAAAAGGAGCAGAGTGGTCCAGAGCTTTGTACTTAAGACAGACCTGGTGGTGCCATTTCATGTTTTTTAATATTTTAAACAAGCTAAATTCTGAGCCTTTGTTTTCTCATCTGTTAAATGAGAGAAAGGGCTTAGCACTGCATTGAGTTTCACTTAGGCCCGAACTACAGTCCAAGGATCCTTCCACCTAAGCCCCTAAGGCCTGGTGCAGCCTGATCTCACCAGGAACCGTCAGCTCCGGGCGATAAGGCACTGAAGGCTGTCTGTAGAAGAAGTTCTGCATATAGGCCCCACTTTCCTTTCCCTTTCCCCAGGGGTCCTCACATGTCTGTGGAGCAGCTTCACTTTGCACAGGCAGCCGGAGGACGGGGGAGCTCCAGCTCTGAGCCACAGGGGCAGATTTATTTGGATGATAGGACTAATATTTGTGTAACCTGTTGAGACCTGTGTGGGAGAGTTTAAGGTGGTTTTTCTGTTGGTGAGGGGGTTTGCTCCAATTTCACATCCATTAACACAAAACATGAGCTAGTCAGGGCTCTTGTGGTCTGTGGTGAGGGGATTCCTGTGGAGAAAGGGGACTGAGTGAGTCAGGCTGGGGGAATGTCTCCCCTGCATAGTAGTGGAGTCAACTGGATAACTGATGAGCCCATGGTAGCATTGGGGAGGGGAGCCTGGGGCGGGAAGAGAAGAGAAGAGTTTCTCACATCTTGAGCTGGAATTAAAAGGAGCTGAGATTTAGGGTGGTGGGGCTATGAGGCTCTCACTCCGTCTGCACTCAAAACAGGCCTTAATGAGGTGTTACTTCGTATGCCAAGTCACTGGGAAGAGCCTCAGATGCCCGGCATCTCCTGCTCCTATAAAAATACACAGCTCACTACCGCTCACTGAAGACACAGGCTTTCCACAGGAAGTCAGCCTGACTCGACCTGTGTTCTGTGATTGCTTCTGGGCTGTGTGGGTCTCATCCCGTGGAAGGAAGTGGGCCTCTTCTGTGCCTCACACTGCTCGGCTTTTCCTTGGGCTCCCATTCTTGCTCACAAAGACCCAAGTTTGGCAATGTCCTTTAAATTGTTAAGAGAAGAACAAGCTGTCCAGAGGGTGGGAAGTTTGGTAAGCGAGGTGGCTAACAGGAGAAAGGCGGTCCATCTGGGCCCCACTGCAGAGGCTCTGTGGCCCCGAGACAGAACGATGGCCAAGCAATTCATTTATCTTCCGAGTCCTTCGCTTGCCTCTGCATTCCGATTGGCTTTAGACAACTGGCGTCCACTCTGCAATATACAAACAGAAACGAATTTATTTAGAACAGGCAACAAAACGAGAACTTTATTTGGTGCAGTCTGCGCTCTATTTAGTTCTGCTGCTACTTCTGTACTCGCCTGCTAATCTCTCCAGTTCCTTAGACCCTCTACGCAATGGAGGCCTGCCCCTCAGAGCCAATGCCTGTCAGCCTCTCCCCTCTCCTCCCTCCTGTCTGCTGTTCCTCCTGTGTTCGCACACTCTTTAGGTAGCATGTCGTACAGAACGTGGAGCTTAGAATCTTCTGGAGAAGGCACATAACTGAGGTGCCTCAGCTTCACAGACTTCAGCTGGACAGTTCTCTTTAGTCAAAGTAAGGATGCCAGCCGGCTCCTGAATAGCAGCATTCATCCATGTGTGTGCTTAATGTGATGCTGGAGAAATGAAGTGGGGGCCTTCCGATGAAGGAAGAGAAGCACACTTTGCTGGCCTGGCTGCCCGAGTCTTGCAGAGTTGACTGCTGAGTGCTGCTGCCGCGCTTCCATCTCCCCTGCTCCCCTCCCTCAGCAAGAGCATTACGAAGGGAGGCCCTTGCCAAATTCCCAGGACCATTCAAGACATGAGTTTTTTTGTGGCTTAATGGAAGACAGATCATCAGGATTTCTCCCCTCATCCTTCCTGAGGTTTTTATTTAAATGCCCTCAGTGGTCACAGAGCCCATTCTAGCTGGGGAAAAGGGAGGATGCCTGGGAGAGAGAGTTTCCCATCCCCTGGAGGCCAAGAGGCCGGCAGCCCAGCCAAATGACAGCACCAGAGAACAATGCGATGCATTCCTGGGCAGGTCGGTGGGACCCTGGGCGCCTGGACCTTGTGGAGAGAGGTGCCAGACACAGAGCTCTCCGTAAGCAATCCTGCAGAGCCGCCCCCTGGGTGCAGAAATGAAATACGGGAGAGCTTCACATTACACAGAAACCTGTAGCTTACACCTGGTTATTGATGGCCTTGGCGGAGGCCTCTGCCCCCACCCTCCACGTGGGAACTGCCTGCTGCTTTTGGGGATGGGGTGGGTGGGCATCTTTGAAGCAGTGTGGGAAAACAAAGAGATGCTCTCTTTCCATGTGCGCCTGCATGCCTCCCTGGGATACATATAGGGTGCACACTTATAGACACACACGGCCTCTCACTGGCAACCATTTTTAAAAAGCAGCTAGATTTCACTAAAATTTGCCTTAGAAAAATCATACAAAACTGGCCCCCAAACCAAGGAACGTTATGTCAACATTTAGGAATGGAGAAGGCAAAGATGAAAGGAAGGCATGGAGAGAAGAGGACAGAGGGGACGTGCCACCCTCCAGAGTGGCTGAGAGCCTGTACGCTGGCTTGACTGGCTCACTCTGGGAGACGGGGATGTGATGGTGGCACCAGGTAGAATGAGCAAACCTGCCGCTCTACAAGACTGGATTGTAATTTCCACCACTTCCTAGGTTAGCAAATGTAGCTTTGAGTGCCAAGGAAGACCCTGAGAAAGGCACTGACGGGGGTTGGGGGTGGGGGGAGATGTGTCGTCACAGTTGCCACACCAGACTGAGCTTGTCCCAGGACTTGCTACTCTGTCTGGGTTGTGGGCAGGCTGCAGGCACTAGCCAGTGGGGTCAGAGGTACAGAAGAGAGGATTCATAAGCTCACTCTCCCACTTCCCATTCTGGGCTGAAATTCTCTCTGAGCTGAAATTCATCATAGGGTCTATCTATCTACAGGGTTGCGATGAGTCAGCATTGACTCGATGGCAGTGAGGGCCTCATTTATTTAAGATGTACTGCTCATTATGAATGCAAGAAAGGCAAGCCACCTTCCCCTTTAATCCCCTATTTCTGAACTAGCTTGATTTAAAAAAAATTGAGTCTGCTTACTTCCACTTCTGTCTTGAGTCTATGGATGGGCCAACTGGACAAAGGCATTCCTTGCCTTGACCAACGTTGCTGCAATCTAGTAAGTTTGTGACCACACTCCCCTGTAAGTGGGTCTGACCAAACAGACAGGCTAGGGTAAGGAAGACAGTTATTCTACATCAGGACAACTTGTGCGGTGGGGCTTCCTGAAGAGTAACAATGATGCTTATGACAAGCTCTTTGGTTTACAAACTGCCTGAACGTTATGATGCTCCCTACTGCCCTGTGAGGGAGGGATTCTTCTCCTTTGACAGACACCATTCAGAGAGGTACAGTGATTTGTCTGGGATCCTGTGCTGCACCGGGCCTTCTGACTTCCAATCCTGTGTTCTCTTCAAAGAGCCAGGATGCCCAGTGTCAGGGAACAGAAGTACAAAATATTCAAGCCCAGTAGGAGTGCTGGGACAGCCACAAGAGAGTAACTGAACCCAATGTGCAAAAGGGGAAGGCTAGGTAGGCCTTCTCTGGCCCGAGCAACAAATCCTCCTGTGCTGTCTCAGCCACCACCGCCACCACCACCAGCATCATGTGATCGCTTGGCAACACCGGCTACATGTAAGCTCTGGATCCTTTCTACTCTCTGTTTCCTTCAGATTTACATTAAACATTTATAATGTCACCTAGTTTTGTTTGGTTTTTTAAAGTGCTATCACGTGCTGACAGGCAGAAGAGTCATGAGAAGCCATGAGCAGAAATCATAAGGTTTAGAGCTTTTAAAGTATGCGTATTACATTGCCTTTGAAGTCTTCCTCTTTTTGTTGTCAACCTTTGGGTTAGGAAAGTGAGGAACAGGAGTCAGTTCTCATGTGGGGCCATCGGCCTACTTCCTAGCCTAGTAAAATAAAGGTCCTGGGACCACTTGCTGAGACAAGTGAGTGGTCCTGTTTCATTTCCACCAAGGCCAGAGAGAATTCCCCGCAGAGACACCCACAGCTTTCACTTGCTCCAGCACTCTGGCTGCTCTCCACCCCTCCTCCTCCCAGCCCCAGCCCAAACCTGGGCCTCTGTTTAGGCACAAGACAGTGAGAAAAAACAGCTCTGAGAGGTGATGTGTGCAAAGGGAACCCTTCCCTGTTCAATCCTGGAATGCATTCCATTAGACAGCATAAGCCCTACCTATCCCCCTCTGGCACCCCGACTGGGCAGGCAGCAGGGAAGGTTGCAGGAACACCGTGTTCATCAGTCACAGACCTGGGATACTCCAGCTCCCTGATCGGGGCCCCTGCATGTGCTTTGGGGAAGAACACCTCCTAAAAACAGTCCACCTACAGGCCGGTTTCTCCCAGACCAAACCTTCCTTTTTTGGTCCATCCATCTTGGCTCTCACAGCTTCCCACCCCCACCGTCCCCGCATGTGGGCTCCGAAGTCATCATCCAAAGAATTCCATTGCTCACCTCCTGCATAGCAACATGGCCCAGGAGGCTGCACACCAGATGGAGGGGATAAAAGCAGAAGGTCATGGCTTCTAGCAAGAGGCTTTTCCTTAAACTAACCCTGAGTCCTGGAAAAGAGGCAGAGCAGGGAAGGGCCAGTGAGCTGCTGCTGCTGCCAGCGGCTGCACAGGCCTGCTATAAATGGGAAGGGGCAGTTCCCTTGACATCCAGTAAAAATTCCCCTGCTCCCAGGCCTCTCTCCCAGGTCTGATTCTTGAAAGTGGCAGCGTAGAATGCATAAATGAAGTCAAACCTAAGGGTTAAATGCTTCCTAATTGGAAAACTCTAGTCAGCATGCAGCCACACACATGCTGAAGTGAAGGCCAAGTCCTGAACATGCACCTTGCTTCTCCAGGAATGTAACTTAAGCAGTAAAAGGGAAGGGAACAGAAGGTAGACTAGAACTCTGGGGAAACTGGAAAGGCCATCAGCAGGCTTTCAGAATGTGTGTGTGTAACCAGCAGAGAAGAAGGAGGAGAATCATGATGTTTGTGGGTGACAGTACGTGGAAGCAACATTTACAGAGAAACAAGGCAGAGGAAGCAGTGGCCTGGAATGTACTGAGCCATCTCAGGAGAAAGGAATCAGATAGAGGAGGTGATGCTCAAGTTGGGTTTAAGAGACAAGACATGGACTGGTATGGGCAGTCTTGGGAAGGGATTCTAAATAGAAGGAATTGGTTATATGCTGAAACTTAAGGCAAGAATGTATAAGCAATATAAAAAGCATTTCAAGCAAGGACATTATATACACAGGGAATAGAGAGAAATTTGAATGCTGAGATCAGGGCATAAATAAGGCAAGGTGACAGTATATGTGACTGTCCAATGGTTCAACAGTCTCCTATCAGCCATACCCTGATCTATGGCCACAAACACCAAGACCCCCCAGTGAGTCCATCTGGTACCGATACAGAGACTAAGCGAGGTCTGTGTACTGTGTACTATAAATTATTACTTTGTTGGAGCCACTGGCAATCCTCTCCTAAACCTGATGTCCTTCTCCACGGACTAGTGCCTCACATGCCCCTAGTATACAGCTGAAGTCTGTACATGATATAAAGTCCACCAAGATGTTAATACACAGCCCCTGATCATTGGAGACAGAGCAAAGAGATCTCAAACATCCTATCCAGACCTGAAATGCATTATGGACACCTATAGTCCAAAAGAGTCCTTATGTAGTATAAACAGGTGTTTGAGTACTAACAGAAAGGCTGGTAATTCAAACCCAGTTAGAGGCATCTTGGAAGAAAGGCCTGGTGAACTGCATCCAAACAAGTCACAATCTTGAAAACCTTATGGAGCACCCAGTTCTACTTGACAACACATGGGGTCACCAGCAGTCAGAAGGTGTAAGCACAAAAACCCTCAATGGAATCAAGCCAACCCCTGAAGAAATCAGAATGTGAAAAAGGAATGATTTAAAATAGCAAATATATGATGCCTTCCCTTATTCCTAACCACAAAGCCTGACTGATCTCTACTTGGCATATTGGTCTTTGTAGCTAACCACAGTGAGACGGTGTAGTCAGGGCCCTTGGGTTGGTTCTGACTCAGAGTGAGCTCATGGACAACAAAATGAACCAATTAGGTCCATTGTTGCAGCCACCGTGGCAATGCTCTTTCAAACACTGATGTCCCTCCTCTTGGACTAGGAGTCCCTCCAGGCCCAAGTAGGAGAGTTGAAGTCTCACCATCGTTGCTTCCAAGGAGCAGTCCAGCTGTACTTGTTCCAAAACAGATGTGTTGGTTCTTCCGGCAACTCATGGTATATTTGATATTCATTGCCAACAACATAATAGAAAGGCATCAGTTATTCAGTCTTCTTTATTCAACTTTCACATACATAAGAGACAACTGAAAAGACCATGGTTGAGGTCAAGTACATCTTAGTCTTCAAGCTGTTCTTTAACACTTTAGAGAGATCTTTTGTAGCAGATTTGCCCCCATGCCATATGTCAAAGAGTTTTAGGGACTGTAAAACCAGTTTGCAAATGAATAACGAGATAATTCTTATGTTCCTTGGAGCAGCAGTCAGAGGCAGGAGACAAATTCTGATTTCATGAGCCATTTGCTCTCTCGTTTTCTGCAATTGCTGAAGGTAACCAGAGCTATCTTACAGGCGTCAGTCACTTCCTGACCTATGAGGACAAAAGCCACCAGGGCAGCCTTGTTCTTCCACAGTACTTTCTGGGTGCCACCTTCAAAAGCAGAACAGTGGGATTGTGGGTCTCCCTCAGTGTGGCACTGAGTGTTTTTTAATGAACACTGAGGAAGCTGCCAAAAAGTGAGCAGTACGCTGGGTTTCTGTTTTACTTACCTGGTACAATTTTTTTCAATTTTCATACTATCTTTTACTTAATAAACTATATGGAGGACATTATTCTAACATGTAATCTATATAAAAAAGTATTGTGATAGTTTACTTCTGCCTGGCACTGTTTGATGCTGGGAGGGAGGCAGCTCCTTACCAGTGAGAGCATTGTGGTATCCTCGGAGCTGCTCCCCCTCTTCTAGGAAGTGTATAAAAGGTGATTTCTGAAACCCTCCACAAAAGAAAAGCTCAAGGGTTTACATTCAGCTGTGACACCACTATGAATTCATGAAGAAGCATGTTTCAGGTTGCACTATAATTTCCCTATGTAACATAAACCCATGGAATCTGACATAAGCTGATTGCTCATGCTGGTTATTTTATTTACATTTCTGAATGGAAGGGATCTCAATACTCATAAACTATCTGACTTATTATTTTTCATCTATTCTCCCAGAGCAGCTATTATCAAAGAGACAGAAGTCTCAACTTGTATGACTGGTTGAGCAACCAGGGAAAGAGTTATTGCTCAAAAGTAATTTAAAAAAATTCAATATAGAGCTTGAGGCCAAACAAGAGCTATGGTTACCCTCAATGCCATCCAAAAGATAAAAGTCCAGAGGAAAAATGTTAAGTAACTGTGCTTGTTATCTCTTTCCAGGTCCTAGGGGAGTAGGTGGTGGCTTCTCAGAAACTCAGAGAGGCTGGAGTTTACTGCAGTCTTTCTACAGACACCTAATGTGGACCCCTAATGTAAGCAGCTACAGTTGCTAATATAAACAGGAACACAGGTGAAGGGATGTGAGTGGGCTCCCCACAACCCACAGATAGCAATGTGCCTCCTTGCTGGTGTGTCACAAACCAGGCTTCTGAGCTGAGAGAAGCCATCACACCCTTAACTAGCTGGAGATACATATCCTGTTAACCTACTAAAAAAATAACCATTTCTGATTATTCTGGTAGGAGTGGCAAGCTCAGAAGGGTTGCCAGAGTAATGATGGCCAGTAAATTAAACTCCTAAGCCTGAGCCTCAGACTTCTGCCTCAAAGTCATTATTCAAATGGTCCCACTTCCTTGCTTCGCCCAGCACACTGCATTAGGTCAGTATACTCAACCCTCTTACAACCTTAAGTTTTCATCATTTTACTGTATTTACTGATTACATGCCTAAGAGTAGAAACTCCTAAAGGGCAGTTTCTGTGCCTATTAAAAATATTCTAAGACCATGCACCAAATAACCCAGTTCACTGAAGGAGACAGATCAATAAGGGAATCTTTTCACTTGGGGAGAAAATCTTGGTAGTTCTACCTGTTAAGAGGTAGAATTGTTAGAGAAGCAAAATTCAGCTGGTGGTGAGGACAAAGGAACTGCATTTTGGTGTCTTATCCCAATATCCTGGATTTTTTGGTGTGTGTGTGTGTGTGTGTGTGTGTAGATTAAGATGGTATGTGCCTGTTTCCATGATTAGTAACAGCAGGCTGCAGCTTGGACGGTTGGTTACAAGAGGGCTCTGGGAAAGTCTAGGTGGCTCTTTCTCATTCTCTCTGATACATCCACAAAGCCAGCTAATTTTAGTCCTAACTCATGCTGCTTCACAATGATATCACACTATTTCCTTTTCAAAACAGAATAACCCTCACTAAAACCCAAACCAGACCTATTGTTGATGAGTCAATTCTGACTCATAACGACCCCTCAACACTGAGTCTGCCGGTAGGGTTTTCAAGACTGTAAATCTTCCCAGAAGCAGACTACCTTCCCCTACAGAGAACCTGATAAATTCAAACCTCTGATCTTTTGGCTAGCAGATGAGTGCTTTAACAACTGTGCCACCAGGGATACTTAGGAATAGCCCTTAAAAAAACCAC